TTCAGAGATTCATGAGACAAATACTGCACAAAATACTATGCTTTTTCTCCTCCCCCCTCCTTTTTTTTAAGAGATGGGGTCTTGTTATGTTGCCCAGGCTACCCTTGAACTCCTGGGCTTGAGCAGTCCTTCCACCTCAGCCTCCCAAGTAGCTGGGATGTCAGGCCTGTGGCACTGTGCTGGCTCAAAAAATACTATGCTTTAGTGTTGAAGGACAAATGTCCATAACTTCATCAATTAGGAAAAAATTACTGCTTTTGATGTATGTTATTTTAGTATAAACTCTGGAAAAGTTTAATGAATATGTAAGAAGGCATAGCAATCATTTATGTAAACTGGTAATTCTAAAATTTGAGATTCTATTCTATAAACCAGTTGCTTTTCTTCCATTATAAAAGTAGCAGTAAATAGAAAATCTCAAAAATGAAGTAGAAAAAGCAAAAACACATAATTCTACCATCCAGAAATGGACTAATCACTTGTTTATATGTTTGCTTTCCCCCCACATCTAATATTTGAAAATTTTAGTTCATTTTAAAACCCTACCTTGCTTTTGTGGAATGGGGGATTGTAATGGATGTTTAAAGAGCTGCAAATTTGAATATTGAAATCTAGTTAAAATATGCCAGGGAGCTCTGCCTAGGGGGTCCCTGTATCATGAATTCTTTTGAAAACAGGAAAACTGTTCCAAGTTTATTTTCTAAAATGAGATATTTATCACTTTTAAAAAATTGGTATCTATAATTTAGCCATTCCCTACTCAGCCATGTCTCATTTAAACTATTATTTGTGTAGTTTGTTTCAGAGGGCAGACGTAAACTTGAGCCCAATCCCTGTCCTATGACTAGGGTGATATTAGCAGGAGATTGCATTTGACAAGGGTTAAGACTGTTAGTTTTCTGGTTCTGACTGGAGGCAAATTCTTTGTTCACAACTATGCTCTGTGTTTCAAAAGCACTTGGAGGCTGGGCGCGGTGGCTCACGCCTGTAATCCTAGCACTCTGGGAGACCGAGGCGGGCGGATCGCTTAAGGTCAGGAGTTCGAGACCAGCCTGAGCAAGAGCAAGACCCTGTCTCTACTAAAAAGAGAAAGAAATTATCTGGACAACTAAAAATATATAGAAAAAATTAGCCAGGCATGATGGCACGTGCCTGTAGTCCAGCTACTTGGGAGGCTGAGGCAGGAGGATCGCTTGAGCCCAGGAGTTTGAGGTTGCTGTGAGCTAGGCTGACGCCATGGCACTCTAGCCAGGGCAACAGAGCCAGATTCTGTCTCAAATAAATAAATAAATAAATAAAACAAAAGCACTTGGAAATCAATAGTTTGTTATTCAGAACAAAAGACTTCTCTATCAGTATTTCCCAAAATGTGTTTGAAGATTCAGGAATGTTAGTTCAAAGAGCTGGTACAAGGCTAAATTATTTAAGGAAGTGATTCCATGGCTAAGTATGTTTGGGAAATGCATTTATTTTCTGCATGGTTTACTACACCCTTTACTACAACAATGGAATTGTGAATTTTCCAAAATTTTTTTCTGACCAAAAGGCACACTTTTCATCCATCATCTTGTCCATGGCACACACTGCCCCATGATACAAATTAATTTGGAATATATTGCATATGGTATAAATAACATATAGAATACATAAAATGGGCCGGGTGCGGTGGCTCACGCCTGTAATCCTAGCACTCTGTGTCGCGGCCCGGATTGCAGAACGGGGGATGGACACAGAAAGAAACACACAGACA